GCACTGACCCCCAGCCTGCCAGACGGAGGTAACCAGACAAAATCAAGTAAAAGGAGATAGTAAGGTGGGGTGGGGCAGGTAAAAGGAGGGAGGGAGAGGGAGGGGGGGGGGGGGGGGGGGGTGGCACTGCCAATGATGCATAGGCTACACTAAATTAGTTGTTCATTTTCTACTGGTTTTCTATAGTTGTACCACTTTTCTGTGGCACAACTGTAAGAGTAATCCGCCAGGTAAGTCTCACCAGCCAGGATACACTGGCTAGAGAGGAAGCTGTTGATAACAATCAATTCATGTGAATCGCATTTTATGCACAATAACAAAATGCTCAGCAACCTGACCAATAAACAAGGCCTTATATCTAAGCAATAGTGATCAATCCAGGGTGGGCACTCTAAAAACTTTAGGCATCACTGTGCCACTGAGCCCCAAGTTAAAACATGGACTATACCAGACTATCAATGCAGTAGTCTATTCTACATCAAAACTCCCTACCCTAATCTCATACCCTATTCTAGACCAACACCTTTTGATTTCAATACCCCGGCCCAGACTAAACTGGTTGAAGACCTAGTCTTCACGGCAGCACTCTCCTTTATGCGCCATTTAACAAATACACAACAATTTCTATACTCTTATCAACCACAGAAATACCCTGCGAGCAGAGGCTACATTTTCGTGGTATGAGATGGAGAGCGAAAAGTAGCCTCTGCCGGCAACTGTTCAATTTTCTATCGTGCATGCGTGAAATTCATCACTCGATTCGCAAGCAAAATTAATCGTCAGGTCTGTCGTCAAATGGCGCAAAATTGCGGGAATAAAAAAAATGCGTTAACTCTGATCTGCTACGCAAGATTCATGCAAACTCATGCAATGCTCTAAACCAGTCAAGAACAGGATAAAACCCGTTTTTTTTCATTATTTTATTCATCCAGATTTCTGGATGGATTTGAATGGTTGTCGGCAGAGGTTACTTTTTGCACGCCAGCTAACACAGCGAAAATGTAGCCTCTGCTCGCAGGGTACCATAGAAATGATGTCAAAATGTTCAAAACTCAAGTGGAGCCATGAGTCGTGGGTGAGTAGTTTCACTGCAAAGTGTGAAGCCACCATCACATCATTTCCATGGTCTGTACTCTTATTGACCATAGTTCTTGACCAATCAGCATGCGAGAAATTGTTCTGTTATTGAAAAAATATCAATGGCACTGTGTGAACCCTCCCCACCACCACTCATTTCCTGGACTATAAATTGAAACAGTGAAACCGAAATTGATTTTAGCTCACTAATTGATATAAATGGCAGACATAACCAATCATTCCTTGGTCACGTAAGGCTAAGCGCCTAGACTTGTCACATTTTATGACTAGAAATATGTTATCGCAAAATCCTCGTAAAGCTTTGAAGGATCAGCAGTGAGAATAAAGGAAGACAAGCCAAAGGAAAAAAAATGATCAAAAAACCAAAAAGAAAAAAATGTACAAAGTTTAAAAGTATGGCTTTGTCAGGATTCGACCTTACACCCTTCGAATCTGCTATAAATTGAAGATTGATCCTTGACCACTGCACCACGCAGTGACTGAATAACAGTGGTGCTAAAACTATTATACTAAAAGCATTTTTCTCTGCCATAAATGCTGACTGAAGTTGGTGGAGCTGTATTTATATGAATTCAAAGATACATTTGAGGAAAATTAGCTTAAAGGCATTATTTCAAAGCCATTTTGCATTATTTCAGTCTTAATTCACTCTCGAGTTCAACGGCGGATGGATGTATGGAGCTGAAACCAGTCTTTGATTCGATCAATCGGTCACATTGATCGGCAGGGAAAGAACCAATTCATTGTTGGTTTGCCCCAGTGTAACATGCATTCAAGGGTACAGATTTTCAGGAAAATCAAGGTTTTGACGGTAAAAATCCGAAGTGAAACACACTTAATTATGAATAAAATATGATAGTGCCCCACAGCATTTGATTCGCGCATGAAGTAGCATTGCCTGGCAACCCTAAAATGCACCCTGACGTCACAACTGGATGACGTCAACTGCCGACACCCAAGAGATCGATAGAAATATTCGCAATTCAAGTTTCTGCCTTGCTGTGCGATCAACGCGCGAGACACACGCTGTGTCGGTGCCAAATTTTTAAACCTTGCTTTCTCAGAATTATAACATAACTGACACTTTATTTTAGCTAATGCAAGCTAATCTGCGGAGTGAACAAATACATTCCATATTCCATGCTCCATTTTGGTTTGTCTTTCGGTTCACTTAATAGAGGTCTAAGTGTAATAGCAAGAAAAAAGGGACGAATAGCTAGAACAGTACTTCGATTGTATGATTTATGACTGGGCGGACACAAGGCAAAATGAAATTGGAATCTATTTGTTTCATACGAGAACAGCTGAACTTAATCAGAACTCACCTTGATCGTGGTGCTGGACTCTGGTAAGAAGATTCGTTCCGGTTTTGGCATTTTTCAAGTAACCAAACATTCTTCCTTTGCATTTCTCTTTTTTTTTACTTGAAAACAGCTTCTGCTAACCTTTTCTCGCCGCCTTTACTTTCCGAAACCGGAATAAAGTCGTAAACATTTTCAAAACTGTGCGCCATGAGCCACGCCATGTTGGACAAAAGACAAACTCGTTTCCAGTTTCTCAGTTTCTTTGTCTTCCAGGGCAAAAAGAGAGAGA